GTGATTTAGGAGAACAGTAAATTAAAAAACATAATTTTGGTTTGTAATTTTGTTTTCTGCATAATTTAAGAGTCTTATGCATTTCAAAATTTACTGGTTTATTGCTGGCTTATGTTAGGGCACATAACACATACACATAAATATGTGATTTTGCACATATATATATATATGATTTTGTCACAATATATGATTTTGTGACATCAAGCAATTGAAAAGTGTTGGGACAGAGTTGGAATAGGAGCAAATATTTTTTTAATGTAATTGACATTGATGTTAAGATGGCATCATTTCAAATTAGATTATCATAACTTAACATTATTCAGTGTAATTCCCATGGGAACTCCAAAGAAAACTGCTACAGAATATATAACTAATATATAAGTATGGAAACTGAAAAGGCATTTAAATATATCACTAATAATCAACTGAACACAGAAGAAGGCAGTAGTGGAAGAAAGCAGGGGTAAAATCCCCATTAGTTATAAAAAGCAGACAGCAAATTAACAAAAGAAAGTTCCTCTTTATCTGTAACTTAAAATTAATGGAACAAACTCTGCAGTTCAAAGTAAGAGATTAGGGGCTGGGGATGTGGTTCAAGTGGTAGCGCACTTGCCTGGCAAGCGTGCGGCCCGGGTTCCATCCTCAGCACCACATATCAACAAAGATGTTGTGTCCGCCGAGAACTAGAAAATAAATATTAAAAATTCTCTCTCTCTCTCTCTCTCTCTCTCTCTCTCTCTCTCTCCTCTCTCACTCTCTCTTTAAAAAAAAGTAAGAGATTAGAAAAATGGCTAAAATCACTAGCTCCAAATATATATTCCCTATAAGATTCTTTTTAGGTCCAAATATACCAATAGTTTGAAAGCAAACAATGGAAGATGTGACTCCATGCAAATAGTAACTGAAAGGAAGCAGGAGTTGCTATTTTAATGTCAAACAAAATATACTTCAAATCAAAAGAGAATAATAAACAAATAGGACATTATATAGTATTAAAAGTTTCAATGTATCAGGAAGATAAAATGGTTACAAACACTTAGATAATGACAGCTCATCAAAGTATATGAAGCAAAAACTGATAGAATTGAAGGGAGATAACAGACAATTCTGCAGTAGTGGTTGGAGACTACAATATTCCACCCTCAAAAGTGGGTAGAGCAACCAAGAAAGAAAACAGAGTTCTTAACACAATAAAGCAACTAGACTTAACAACCATACAAAGAACATACTATAGCCTGGCACAATGACTCACACCTATAATCCCAGTGGCTCAGGAGGCTGAGGAAGGAGGATTGCAAATTCAAAGCCAGCCCCAGCAACTTAGTGAATCCCTGTTTCTAAATAAAATTTAAAAGAGCTGGGCATGTGGCTCACATATAACACACTAAAGAAATACAAAGAATTATTAAGTATATGAAAAATTATCATACACCAAAAATTTGGCTAACGTAGGAGACATTGACAAAATTGTAGAAACACAAAATCTACCAAGACTAAATCATGAAGAACTAGAAACTCTAAATAGAACTACATATAACTAGTAAGGTCATTGTATCAGTAGAAAAATATCTCCCCAAAACATCAAGAAAAAGAAATCTTGGACTTGATGGTTTCACTAGTGATTTTTAACAAACTTAAAAAATAACTCCAATCATTCTGACAGTTTTTCAAAATATTGAACCAAAGTAAACACTTCTGAACTCATTCCATGAGGCTAGAATTATCTTGATTACCAAAAAAGAGCAAATATACTGTAAGAAAACTATAACCCAAAATCTCTTATGAACACTCATGTAAATATTCTCAACAAAATACTAGCTAACTAAATTCAGGAGCATATTGAAAGATTATACAGGATGATCACATACAGTTCATTCTTTATATGAGAGGATGTTTCAACACATAAAAGTTGATCAGTGTAATCCACCACATTGATGAAATGAAGAAGAACCCACATGATCCATCATTTGATAAAATTCATCATTCTTTCATGATGAGAACACTCAACAAACTAGGAAGGAAGAAAACTGCCACAACATGATATAATCTACATAAACCATATACTCAATGGTGGAAGTTTGAAAGCTTTTCTGTTAAGATCAGGAACAAGGCAAAATACTTGCTTTCACCACTTTTCTTCAACACATTACTGGAAGTTCTAGCCAAAATAACTAGTCAAGAAAAAGAAATAAAGGGCATACAGATCAAAAAGGAAGGAGTGAAATAATTTCTTTCATAGGTAATATAATTTTATGTATAGGAAATATCAAGGATCTCTCAATCACACACAAACTCACAAACACAGAGACTAGAAATATTAGCCAAATAGAAGAATACAAAATACACAGTTGCATTTCTGTATACTAGAATAAACAACATGTAAAGGCAATGATAAAAATATTCTATGTATAATAGCACCAAAACAAATAAATTACTAAAAAAATTAACCAAGGAAGTGACAGTTTTATACAATAAAATTACAGAATATTGATGAGAAATTGAAAATAATATAAGTAAGTGAAACCACATCTCACATTCATGAATTGGAAGACCTAATATTATAAAGCTATTAATCCTATTCAAAGTGACCCACAGATTCAATGCAATTAGCAAAAGCACAATGATCTTTATTCAGAAACAGAAAACTCCTCAAATTCACATGGAATCACTAGAAATTGAACAACCAAGACAGTCTTGAAAAATAAAGATGCATGTCTCATACTTTCTGATTTCAAACCATACTACAGTGCTTTAATAATTAAAATATTTTGGTAATGGAATAAAGGCCAAGGTAGTTCTATACAGGATAATAGAGAGCTGAGAAATAAATGTTTGCATGTATGATTTTTGACAAGAGTGCTGAGATCATTAAATGGGGGAAAATAGCAGTCTTTTAAACAAATAGTGCTGAAAAAACTACAAAAGAATGAAGTGGGTCTCTTAATTCAATAGAGATGAAAGACCTAAGTGTAAGCCTTAAAACCATAAAGCTCTTAGATGTAAACATGGAGCAAAACCTTCACAACATTGAACTTGACAGTGCTTTCTTGCATATGACACCAATCATTAGAGGTAATAATGACAAGAATGAAATCACAAACTGGACTTTGTGAAAATTTTAAAAAATGTACAGCAAAATTTATTATCAATAGAGTAAAAATATACCATATGAAATGAAAGAAAATATTTAATCATATATCTAGGATATGGTATTTCTAACCAGAATATACAGTGAACTCTTAAAACTTGACAAAATGCAAACAGCCTAATTAGAAAAATAAACTAAAGGCTTTACTAAACCTTTCGCAAAAGAAGATTTATGGGCAGCCAATATATATGTGAAAAGATGATTAATATTACAAATCATTAGGGAAATTCCAACTAAGATTTTCTACTTCATCACCATTAAAATAGTTACTATAAAAAAAGAGTTGATAAGGATGAGAGGTTGGAACACTTGTGCATTATTGGTGGGGTTATAAAATGGTAAAGCTACTGTGGAAAGCAGTATGGCTATTGTTTAAATAACTAAACACAGAATTATTATATGATAGAGCAATTCCACTCCAGTCTACCCCAAACCATAAAGTAAGATCATGAAGAGATATTTGAACATCTATGTTCAAAAACAATGTCATTCACAATAGTTAAAATGTGTAAACAACTGAAAAATGGATGAGGACAATGTGGTTTATGCACACAGTAGAATACTATAGACCTTTAAAGGAAGGGAATTCCGACATATGCTAAAACATGGATGAATCTGGATGACACTGTGCCAAGTGAAGTAAACTGGAAACAGGAAAACAAATGCTGCATTAACCCCACTTATATGAGGAATGTAAAAATAGTCATGCTCATAGAAACAGAGTAGAGGCGTGGTTTCCAGGGCCAGAGGGAAGGAAAAGTAGGGTGCTGCTGTTCAATAGGTGCAAAATTCCAGTTATGCAAGATGAATATATATCATAGCATTTGAGAGAGAAGGCAGGGAACAAAGAAACTGAGAGTTTAGTCAATGTTAGGGAATGCTAATAAAATATCAAAAACATGTTTTCCATAGAAAATTGGAAACAAAATGGTAAAATATAAGAATTTACAAGTATCTGATTATATTAAAATTGCCAGGATCATCCCGTTTATAGTATAAACTATTGTTTCTTTTTTTTAGTTATAGATGGACACAAATCTTAATTTTGTTTGTTTATTTCTATGTGGTGCTGAGGATAGAACCCAATGCCTCACATATGTGAGGCAAGTGCTCTGCCCACTGAAGCACAACCCCAGCCCAACTATTATATTTCATTTGATTAAAAACAAATAAAAACAAAATAGTCAAAAGGCACCCAGTATCCCATTATATCATTTTAATATACTCATGTATGCAAATTTCTCATGGCCTGATAATTACCGACTCTATGTAGTCAGATAATTTCCATTGGAAATGGTACCTTTTCCAATAAACACAAACCTACAGAAATGACCTTTTGCTCTTAACTATAAGGGAAAAGCAATATTCTGTCTACTTCATTAATGCATTAATGCCTGATTTGTTCTCAAATGTGCTCTTTAGTTCACTCCAGCTTCCAAATGTTTATAAGGAATATGATACAAGTAATGAAAACTGAAGCACAAAGGCAATTTTTGAGATATATATTTTGGAGAAAAGTATCATTTTATCATTCTAAAAAATATTCTGCATGTTGGACTGTTCATTCTTAAAAGTAGCTCTGGTAGATGTTTTCTAACCACAACACACTGATAATTTGTTTGTCAATATGAAGCATCTTATTCAGTACAAAGTGGACACCTATCATGAACAAATGATCCATCTTCACTGGGAATTATTTTAAAAATTCTACAGTCTGTAAGATACTGGATAAATGAAAACAAAAGAAAGGAAATATATTCCAGTTCTGATCAGATAATGTCAATTAGAAATGGTACCTTTTAGTGGGATCATTCTAAAATAAATCATTTGAAAATCACTAGTGAGGTTTTACCTGCAGTTCTCAACGTGATTTTTTTTCACTGCCATGGATGGAATGAAAGTTCCCTGGTTATTGATTTCCACAACTCGTATGCAGCCAATAAAATTTTCAACTGGTCCAGAAATCTGAGAGAGACAGAAAGAGCAAGAGAAAGAATTAAAATAATAATCTTTAATGTATTGTTTTTACTGCAAACTGGTCAGAATGTGAAATTGGATCTCAGGGCTGAAATGATCTATTCAACATATTGGTAGTACAGTAATTCAAATCTATAAATATTAACCCAAACTGGAAACGGTGTGCCTATAAGCCCAGCAATCAGAAGGCTGAGATAGGATTTGAGACCAGCCTTATTTGAGACCTTATCTCAAAATAATAAATAAATATACATAAATAAAGGGCTTGGGATGTAGCTCAATGGGAGAGTAACCCTGAGTTCACTCCCAGAAGGGCAAAAAAGAAAGTAAAAAAGTCAACCAAAATATTAGTAGAAGATTTTCCATATCTTGGTTATTGTGAATAATGTTTCAGTGAACCTGGGTGAATGAATAATAAGTCACACACACACACACACACACACACACACACACACACACACACACAAAATTAGGATATTGTTGAGCCTTAAAAAGATGAAGTTTCTAACTTTTGCTTCAACATGAATAAACTTGTGGGATATTATACAAAGTGAAATAAGCCAGACACAAAAAGAAAAATTTTACATGATTTCACATGTGGATTTTTTTTTAATGTCAAATTCAGAGAATAAATCTTTGGTTACAAGAGGAATGGTTGAGCGGGGAAGGGAAAGAAAGGGGTTGATGTAGGAAAAAGGACATAAGAGTAGCAGAATAGAGTCTAGAGATCTAATGAACAGGAGGACTATGATTAATAATATCATATTGTATTGAGGACTTTTGCTAAAGGAACAGATTTTAGCTGCACTTACACACACAAAAAGGGTAACTGTGTGTGATGTTGGATGTTCAGTTAACCATTTACATCCACTATGCATCAAAACATCATGTAGACCTCAAATATTCAAAATAAAGTATGCTTCAAAATTACTATGGAATAATACCTCATTGTTAGTCAGTATTTACTAGGAGTTTATACATTTTAGAACTGTATGACAGCACAAAGTCACTAATATTAGGATAAAGAAAAAGTCTCATATATACAGTAAATTATCAATGAAAAATAGAGAAGAAAAGCTGATACACTCATTTTTCTTATCAAGGTATGACATGACAAGTCTCCCATAATTTTCACTCTGTTCTTTGTCCTTTATTCTTTCAGAAACCAGTGATTTCTTTTTCCTGTTTCCAACCATCAAAACATCATGAATTACTCTTACAGGAGCCAATGGAAGCACAGAGAAAGACACAAAATATTTGTGATTCCTGTTTCCTTGTATGAATTTTATTCTTTAGGAATAATTGGGACAAAAAATAATATTAGAGGATTCTGGAAGGCCAAGAGCACAAAGAAAATAAGGACACTAGAAAGCATTCATTTTGGTTGATGAAAATAACCTTGTAAAGATGAATAGACATGGTTTTCCATTGTATTCATTGTGAACATAAACACTATACAAGTAATTACAAGTCAATGCATATTTATGTGAAAAAGACAAATTAAAAGAGGCATGACTCAGAATAGAGTTAAAATGAGTATTTATTTTAGTTTCTGATGTGCTCTGTATATTATTAAAAATTTCAAGTTAAGATGGACCAAATTATGACGAGGGCAAACACTAAATTAATATGTTTGAAAATAAAGTGTTTAACTTGATTTTTGAATTAAATATATATGCTTTGTGCATTATTAGGACTTCATTTCTCATCAAGTATAATATTATAAATATATAAATGATAGAATGAAACCTTTGTCTTGTTTAGAAAATTTGGGATGAATACATTTTATTTATTTACTTAATATTCTCAATTTTATAAGTCTGATTTTTTTGTTCTTCCAGATATAGGCTCAAACATCTGCAAACCCTCTAAAGTAGAAATGCTCTGTCAAATGTCAAAATGACTAAACTAGGAAAAAAACACAAAATTTCATGTAGTAAGTTGTTTACAAAAATCAAGTTGATAACAAGCAAAACAGAAACATTTGATTCTTAAAATTTGCAATTGTTGGCTAAAAGTTTTTTGTGGGGTTGAGTAATAATTTTTTATTTTAAAGTTTAATTTTTCCTTTTAACCATAAATATTATGAATAAATCTACTTTTTAAAATGAAGTTTGTGTTTTCCTCTCCTAAAACATCACAAATGTAAATTATTACAGTTTACTAATTAAAAAAAACATTTAATTTAATGGTCACAAAATGCTTTTAATGATAGTATTATTATGAATGTTTGAATTTTATTTTAACATAGATCAGCAATAGCCTAAAATATGTGCATATTTAAGTAGATAATTTTCACTATTCATTAAAATCCTTGTTATTTATGAGCATCAGGCAAAGGAGAAAGTTTCAGCTTTTTAAATAAATATAAAACTATCAGAGAGATATAAAAAAGTGCCCTAAAATGCAAATGAATCCATGATTACTCTATTGAAATACTTAGAATTCTATTATTCAATCTCATTTACATATGATTAAAAATAAATATTAATTTATTCACCTTGACTTTTGAAAAGTGGCAAAAAAATTTTTTCCATAGCCACTAGCCTTTAAATTTGAGGGAATTCAAAATTCTTACATTTCTCATGTTTTAATAGTCTGAAAATTCTCCAGTTCTCTCACATATTAACTTCTGGCAGTCTTGCTCAGGATGTATTATTTGGCCTCCAAAGAAATTCCCATGTTGTCTTTTTCACTTGAAATACTGAAATTTAGTTTTGTAAAAAGTAAGTGAAACTCAAACCCAGAAACACTGAGCCTGAATACTAAACTTGAAACACTTGAAGCATGTACTTCTTAGGTAATTTTTAGTGTATGAAAATATTTCCTTGAATTTAGTTAATTTATGGTAATCTGGTCAGTCAAGGCTTCCAGGACCCTATTCTTAAAAGTGAAAGAATAGAAGCAAAACATACATAATCGATATGATAAGTTATAATGTATTGATTTTTAAGCACAAGAAACAATGGAAAATCACCTCCCATCGATCATAGAAATGGCATCACTGAATGTTATTGTCAATTCAATGAGGAAAAAAAATTGTACTCACATGACCTTCTATGGTTACTCAAGTAAAGTCCTTTTAAAATCCAACACAAATAATAAAATAATGACTCAGTTATTTCTCAACAACATAAAATGACAAGTGTGGTGAATTATATCACAGCAACAAAAAAATAATAATTCAGGGTATTGAGTATTATTAACAACAGAATTTTTGTTATTTTCATTTCCAACTTATATCTCAAATTTCTAAATACATGTTGAGTATGGTCCCATTTTTTCCTACTTCTCTATTAATAAAAGAATATTTAACTCTATCTCTGGCCTTTGATAGCTTTTGCTTTCACTCCTCTACAGAAATTCAATGTCAGGAGATAATAATCCATACTGCAGTAACAAGGCTCCATATTAACATTCCATTGCAGTTGCACAGAATTTAGACAGAAGGACTTCCTGGTTATAGGTTAGATTGTGTATATATTTAAAATATTTCAAATTTAGAATTAAATACTACTGGGCAATTTTTATTGTGATAATTAGCATATACTGATTGTATAGGATAAGAGGATTCTTTTTGAGATTTTCACACATGCACGTAACACATGTGAGATCTTTTTTGAATAAAGGTACTATTCTCAAACATTTACTTAAATCATGGATTAACCTAAACCCTGAAGACCTGCAAATATGAAGGAATGTGTACAGCAATCTCTGGTATACACATATCTTCTTAAAAGAGTCCAGTTATTTACTGCTTCAGTCTGTCCCCCACCCCCCCGCCCAGCTGTTGCTACTGTGATATTTACTTCTCTAAGTTTTCCTCATTGTTGTGTTTCAACTGAATCCTGGTAGTCTCCATTCTCTTGTGCAATTCTTAGTTTTTATGTAGTGCCATATTTCCTGTAACCCAAGGAGCAGTTCTTGTACTACATACCTCTGGAAGCATACTGCTTCAGGTTGGGTATACTTATTTGGACAACAAATGCCATTAATTTGTATTACTTTTAGGGATATCCTGTTGAATTCAGTTTTGTATAGAAAGATTGTTTATTTGCATTTAAAATATTTTTTTTTGATACTTGAAAGATATTATTTCATTATCTTCTGGCCTGCATTGTTTCTGATGAGAAGTTAGTGATATTCTGTTTTTATCAAATTTTATTGAGATTATTTGGTATATAAAAATATTTTTCATTAAATCCATTTATTTTTTGTCATTATTTTTTCAAATATTTTCTTCTGACCCTCTTTCTCTCTGCACTTTTTGGGACTTCAATTACTCATATTCTGACCCCTATTGTTGTCTTACACGTTACTGAGTCTGTTTTCATCTTTTTTCTCTCTTTCATTGTAACTATCTTCTATTCCTTTGCATTCAAGTTCATTGATCTTTTCTTTTGCAGTGTATGATCTGTTGTTAAAACAACATACTGAAAAGTTGTGCTCCATTTGTGTACAACAAATCAAAATGTATTCTGCTGTCATGTATAACTAATTAAAATAAATAAATGAATGAATATTAAAAATACTTTGGGGATTATTATTATGTATTATATATTATTATATATTACAGTTCAGATATTTTTTAGAAGTTTTTTCTTTTTAATTGTTGAATTTTGTTCATTCTTTTACGCTTGATTCTTATTTTACTGTTTTATTTTTTCTAGTTTTTAAATTCATGTTTTCTTTCAGTATGTAGGCAATTTTAAAATAATGGATTTAATGACTATTTTTCTTGACTGTTTTTTTTTTTGTGATTCTGGGGATTGAACCCAGGGCCTTATGCATGTGACAAGCACTATACCAACTAAGCTATATCTCCAGCTTTCCTTAGCATTTTTGATTTGATTGATTTTTATCTGATTATAGACCTCAGCTTAATGCTTGTTTTTATTTCACATGGAACATGATATTGTTATTTTTGCATGTTTTCCCAAATATTTATTTCAATATTCTAATTATTAATGGTAGCAATGATAGTATAA